AAAAAAAAAAAAAAAAAAAAAGAAGCAGCAGCAGCAGCAGCAGCATACAACCAAATCTACGATGCACGAAGAAAGCAGGCCGAAAAAGGGTATTTTATTTAATTCTTGGGTGGGCGTCGTGCGTGGTGGTTTTCTCCTCATCACTGACTAATCCTCTTTTTCTTCATATTCCATTATTGTTGTATCCTTTCTTCTGATGATTAAAAAAAGAGAAGAATGATTTTTGTTCTCGTTATCTCATTCTTGGCTAATCGGGAGAGAGAAACACAGTTGGTTGGTTTTTTGGTAGGAAAATGGAGAGAAAAAAAAGACGTTTAGTGAGCACCAACACGACGGGCCTCGGCGATGACCCGCTGCATGTCCTCGACCTTTCTCTTGCCACGGCCGAAGGTACCGAGCTAGATTGGAGAGTTATATGTTAGTTATTGCAAGGGATAAAGGGTATAGACAAAAGGGAATGGTTGGGGGAATGGAATTCGGGGAGCTGGCTCGTGTGTTTCGGTTTCAGGTTCGTCCCATTGGTCTGGTTGTTCGTAGAAAGTAGATGTGGTCGTTGGTTGCAGTCGAGCTGTCAAAGGTGGAAATCATGGGATAAGATGTCGAGAAAGTCAATGCGAGTTCGATGTAATCTGAGTTGAGGTTGAAGAGAACAGCAGTTCTCCAATAACGAGTGATGATTGTCGAGGATGACCAACGACATGGGGTGCCGCAAAACCGAAACGAAACGAGCTGCCCGCGAACCATTTTCCCATTCCCTTCACCCAGCATAGAATTTCATCATGCAAAGACGTACCCTCTTCTTGGCGAGCTTACGAGCGCGCTTGTCCTGAGTGTTTCTCAGGAGTTCGATGATGCGGCGCTCATAGGGGGCAAGGCCGACAACCTCGCGGGCGATCTCACGAACGAAAGCGGTACGGCGGGAAGACTGGCCCTTGGTACGGCTGACCCGGGTCTTGGGGGTGTTAAGAGGGGTGGTCTTCTGTATGGCCGAAGCATCAGGTCAGTAACTGAGTCTGTCTTTCTTCATGGCCGAAGATTCCTTTGCGATTTCACGAAGGAATACAGCGGAAGTGAAGCGCGATTTGATCCAGCCGAGTGGGTCGAGTTCGAGTTCCTCCCCCCTTAGAAAAAAAGTCCCTGATGCCCTTCTTCAATTCCAAGAACCCCCAGAGTGCTTTCCTGAAAGCATGGTGATATCTCTTGTTCCGACAATAATTCACCCTGCTCTTGGCATAGAAAAAATCCTCCTTCCCGTGTATATTTTTCCCGCCCTCGACAAATTTCCACACCACACTCGACCGGATCAAATCGTTTGTTGCAGGAGATCAAAAGGACAGGGGACAACGTACGTGACCCTTGTTGAGGCCGACCACGATTCCGGAGCGTTCCTGAGCCATCACGACGGTTATGGACTGCGGTTGGCGACGACGGTGTTGCTGCTGAGAGATTGTCGAGTCGACGTGCGCCGGTGCGGATGGGAATCGCGATGGAGTCTGCCAGTTTTTGGTTGGCCGTTGCGGGAGTGCGTAGCGAGGGTAGGGCTTAGGGTTGCTCCTCGGCTGTCACGTGGCAGGCTTATCTCTTATCGTTTATCGCTTATCGGTACTTCATGCCTCAGGTATATTGTGGGGAAAGTGGCTTCCAGCTTTCACTTTTCCCCATCCTTACTCCATACCTGTTTACTTACTTACACTATGTAGTATTGCTTCTCCCTACGAAGAACTGGCCATCGGGCTACCATCGCCATTATTTCTCGCGGGATTCCTTGCTCGCATGAACCACCTCGCTTACAGGAATTCTTACGCCGTGCCTCGCTCGCATAAACCACCTCACACACGTAGTTCCTCGCATAGATCTTTGCTTATACAAATACCTCTTAGTTGAGTTATATACATCATCAATTCCAAAAGCCTGATCACAAATCACCCGCTGGTTAGTCCTCCTTATACTTCCTCATCGCTCCATCTCAGGCCCAGTCTCAATATCTACCTCGACGATCTTCAAGATCCCGGCTCTGGGCCTTTGCTCTTCCTCACTTCTCGAATTGGGGACATCCACATTGATTCCCTCTGGTACGCCCCGATTGGCGGTGGCATCCGTCGTGGTATAGCAAATCCCTCGATAAGCCCCAACATCCCTCATCTCCCAGTAGCTATCCGCCGTCGACTCCGTGCCCGTGCAGTCTTGTCCAGATCTCCAGAGCCGCTGCGGAATAACCCGCATTGCCGGGTTACTGGCGGCAAGGGGTCCCTTCATCTGGATTGAAGCGCTCCCCGTCCCGATACTCGATACCCAAGCCTTGGCTTTCTGGGACGAATGTTTGAAGAAACTCGGCAGCGCGGGCAGACAACTAGCGACGATCCCCGAGGTGATTTCGGCGGTGCTAGATTGATGACAATAATCAGCACTTTAGTCTATGATTCCGCTTTATCGTGATGGGTAGTGGTCTGTGTGCTGAACAATGCGTCTCGGGAAGAAGAAAGGGAAGTAGAAGAGCACTCACGTCCATAGGAACTCCGGAAACCAGTCATGCGTTCTGTCCCTTGTGGTGCGGTTTCGGACACTGACGACGAGACGCATCACGCTGCAGATGCAAGCACTATGAAAGGTATCTTCTTCAGCTTCCAACCCCATTCAGACGGTTCTGGCCTCCAGCCAGACCAGATAAAAAGAAAGGTGAAATAGATCCAAGAGCGGAAGGGAGAACAGCGTACAAGATGCCGGCTGCAAATACAGCCGACAGGCCCATCTTCTTCCACCATGTCATCTGTAAGCGCCAGACACAGGCAATTGGAAGCAGGAGCATGAGAAAGTCCGAAACAACGTTCACGATGGACGTGACCAGAATTGGGATGTTGATGTTGATACACTGCCCGGGGATGTCTTGGTCCCAGATCTTGGAGCGAGGTTTGCATTCGCAGATCTTGACGATGGTGTCGGCGAAATAGAAGAGGAAATTCATCCAGATGAGGGTTTGGATGAGCCAGAAAGGCGTGTTGCGAGTCGACGGCGCGAAGAGGCGGATATATAAGAGTAGGATGGATAGCTTAGTGATATAGATCAAGGGGCCGTAGAGGACTTGCGATGCGTTCGCCAGCTACATGGTCATCGTCAGCAAAGACGAAAAAAGCTGGCTGCGGTCGGGATCCTCTCAAACCTTGGAGAATTCTCTTAGATCAGATGCAGCGACAGCCCACTGGTGAATGCCGTTACCATGTCGGTCTGTCTCGAGAGTAATGGCGGCATATCCTATCAGGCCAAGCTGGTCATGTCATAGAGAGTGGCTCAGTGTATGAACAGGTATGGAATGGGAAGCTGGTTGGCAGCTCAAACCGCATACCCAAGCCAGGAAACAAGTCACTATTGGAATGAATTTATTGTTCAGCATAGTATTAACCGAAAGTTCCCAGCGAGCTGGCTCACTTCACAGGGACGCAGTACATACAATCCTCCCATCCTGGAGCGCGTGTGATGGAGATCTTCGAATACAGGCGCATCCCAACACAACACGTGCTGACAGTAAGACATACCGTCTGGGTGAGTATGTCTTCAGATCGCAACGAGCGTCTATAGTCATACGTCAATGTAGTTGAGCCATTGTTGGCATCACCCATTGTCCAGAGAGGGGAACGAAGACAAGCAAATATACGACCACAGGGGGATGTTGAAGCCTAGAAGCAGATCATGCTGAAAGTCTGCAGCTTCAAACACTGTCAGTCATAGTAAGAGCTTACTGACTGATACATATATACAGAAACTTGCTCTGCTACAATGGCTGACGACTGCGTGACACTGTGATTGAAATCGACCACCACCACCTGCCGTGAGCCGGCGACGCAAGGCGACAACCACACCTTACAAGGAATGTGAGCGTGGCACACACAGGCATGGGATCGGGCAAGAACTACCCGTCGTGATGTTCTGTACTCCTTTTTCCTCTTTTCCCTCTCGATGCGCGATGGTCGTGTAACATTTCTCGGCAATGGCGTGCCTTGTAGTCCAACATGCACCTACAGCCTGCTTCATCTGGTCGGTGACATGCACATAAAGAACTAAAGCAAGCAAACTAATGAAGAAGAGGAGGATGATGATGATCAAGAAGTATCCAGTATGCATCCGATCGGAGTCGGAACGCAAACCAGGGATAGAAGAATGACTGTTTCGCTACACGCATAAGCGCCCTTGCAGGACCGGACCGACATTCACGCCACTCAGCCTCGTGGTCTAGGTCGAACCAGTCTTACATACCTAAGAAGAGATCTCAGCTGTCTCCGCTCCATCGGGGCTGTATGCGGCTCGCACGGAAGGCGATGATCAGTTTTCGCATTGACTCAATGGACTAATAGATATAGACAGTGGGTGAATAATGTCCGATTAATCACTAAGCTTGCTTTAAGACTGGATTGACGAAGCATTATATAATGAAGGTTTCGCGGCCGCCTTTTAACTCCTGTGTAAGGAGAAAGTGAAGGGCAAGATGCTCTCACAGGGTTACGGCGACTAAGCCATTCAATCCTTCCTCCCAGCTTTCTTTTAGCTCACCGCAGAAGACCTCAAGTTGAGACATATCAAGTGTCTTGTCCAACTCGGAGGATAGCTTACTGCCTTCCGGCCCGCTGCCGGGACCAGCTAGGACCAGGTCGATCAACGCGCTCAACCCACCCGAAGCCGAGACGTGAGACTTGAGGGTACGACCACCGTTTCTAATACCCTGGAAGACTTGGCGTGTAGTGTCAGCCAGTTTGTCAATTCTTTCGCGACTCAATTTGGCGTTCTTAGACCCCTTTCGCGTGGCGACGGTGGTTAGAAGAGACAAGGCCTTAAGAGAGTCCAGGACCATGAACTGATCATGGAAGTATTTCCAAGTTGGCGCAATTGGTGCTTCCGAATTCAAGAAAAGTGCAGTTTTCGAGACAACTGGGGACACCTTCCCGTCACCTTCATTGAGGTCCTGAACCCTTGAGTCCAGCCATGCTTCCACCTGAGTGAGACTGGCGTCTGCTTGTTCGGCATTGACAGATTTGGACCCACTCAAGAACAGAGCAAGTGCCAAAAGGCTACGGTTTGTCTTAGCACTTTCAATTTCTGCTGTTGTCATTTCCGTCTCCACATTTTCGCCCAACATGTCATCAAGGTTTGGTAGCTCGGGCTCAACAGTCAGTGGCTTTTGAGTGGCTAAAGACTTCAGGGTGCCGAACATATGGTCGGTTACTTTCATAGATTTGATCCATCCGTTCTGATCTTGTTAGTCGCAGTGATGGCATCACGAGGAAGACGATGAACTCACACTAGGCAAAGGGCCCAAGCGTATACGCTCTTCAAATGTAGGCTTTCCAGGGGCTTCACAGTTCATGAATGCGTCGAAGACACGTTGGTCGATCAGGGGCGATCCATCTCTAGCTGTGCCGTGCGGTTGTGTAAGCATGCGAGGAGAGCAATTGTGCAGAACCTACTTACCCATGTCATCGTATCTAGTCATAGGGTCTCCACCAGCCAGTCTCTGTATGCGCCTGACGTCTAGCGCCCACATTCTGCGACAGATGCTTTGCCTCAGACGCTTCTGCAGTTCGATGGTACCTTCGATATTCACATAGCTGCCATAATCCAGTCCTCTGGTGCGATGCCTGGTGGATGTGAGATCTGCCGTGCGAAAGAAGTTAAGGGCCTGCACAAAAGCGGATTGTGGGTTGAAGTCTTTGTATTCAGCTCCTTCAACTGGTGGGGCGGAGTGTGGGTGGATCGTGGCAAGGCGCGTGAAAAGATTGTGGGCGACGGTTTCGAACTGCACTTGCTTCACCGATAGTTTACTGAAGCTGCTCAGTGCAAGAGATCCTGCACCTAAGCGCAAATAGATTCTAACGACAAGTAATAATGCCTGATAGTTGTGGGGTGAGTCGACAAGAAGACGCTCGAGGATAGCTGCTGCGCGAACGAGAACGGCGTCAGGGATCTGCTGATCAGCAACAGACGTGCGCGGTTCGCTGAAACGCATCAGGCTCATAGCCGCCAAAATACATAAGTCATCGCTGGGCTGGCTTTCAATTGTGGTGGGAGCTGAAGTTTTCTCGGGGCGCTGGACCTCACGATAGACCTGCAGACAGCGTACGATGAAATCTTCGACTTGGGATTTGGAGACGTTCTCCTCATTGGCAGAAAGACAGAAACAGTACTCCAGTTTGAGCGCGTTGATCTTCGCGACGCCCTTCCCTGAAGCTCCCTATTCCGGAATTAGTATACCAGCTCTGCACGAGATTCCAAACAACTTACTTCAGTCCCGTCGTTTTGTCCTTCAGAAGTATAGTTCACCAAGCTTGTCATGGAAGCTTGATCGAGTGATGACACGTAAGTCCTCAGATCACCGAAGCAGTAGAGCTTATGCTTGTTGAGATCATAGTATTGTTTGCAGGCGGCGGTCAAGTCCTCGGCGTTAGAGCTACCCGACTTGAAACCCCAGTGTACCATGTCAAGCCGAGCTAAGTGCGCATTGCGAGACTTGGGCACAGCCGCCACAAAATCACGAATGAAGTCCTGAGTTGCGATAGTGGTCCTTGAATTACATTTTAGCCGGCGGAGCTTCATCATTGCATGAAAGTGCATGTTGCAAACTTACTCTGAAGAGTTAATTCTCTGAGTTGAGGTGAGGAGCAAGTGCCAGACTGCCCAGTCATCGCGTTCTTGAAGAGCCTTCAATTCTTCTTCGTTGCTTGGGATAGTGAGCAAGTTCTTTGCATAGTCCAGACCTTCTGTCCACATCTGGGCTTTTTCCAAATTGGACAGCTTCACTCCAACAAATGACCAATCATTCTGCACGACGCGCGAGTTCAAACCTAGGTTATCGCTATCGAGGATCTTGACGATTTCTGCATGGCGCTCTTGAGACTCAAAGATCTTAACAAGCAACAGTAGCTCCTCGGCCGATTGAATAGCTCTGGGAGGGCTCAGCAACTCCTTCTGTGTGTACGATTTCAAATATCACCATAATGTCCAGACCAATATCCAACCACGCATAGGAAGATGACCAACGAGAGGCCGCTAGTTGCAGAAGAGAGTTGTAGCATACCGGATCTTGAGGAACGCTTTCGGCAGCTTTGGAAATCATACGATAGGCTAGGGTTCCGAAAAGCTTGCGTTCAGCCTCCGAAGCCCCCGCATCGACGGAGATCAGGTAGCAAAGGAAGATGGCCCAGAAATAATACTTCCTGGTCTTGGGAAAGTTGCTCTGGAGAGACATGGCAGCCTATGAATTGACCAAGTAAGACCTGTTAGCGCCTCTGTTAAGCTTGTCAGCGGCGCTTGATGGTAGCAAACCTTTTGCGCCGACTTCCAGTCGTCGCCCTCAAAACCATACTCAAACCACCGCATTTGAATATCCAAATCCTTGGGACTAGCTTTAGAGGCCCTTTCCCAGAGGTTTCTCAGGGTGTCCCCATGGTCGCTAAGTTTTTCCAGTGTCTCGTGGAGAATATCGAGGGTCTCCAAATCCGTCGTGGGAGGTTCGGCTTTACACAGTTCGAGAGTTTCGGCGATTCCACGTTTGCGGTGGGCTTCGTCGGCATGACGGTAGAGAACATACGCCTTCCATGCCTTTTGATCAGGCGTTTAACTCCAGTTAGCATCGAAACAATTATATGGGAGGGAAGCTCTTGGATGCGGCCGGAGATACGCATTGAGTGGGGCAGATATATTGACACGAATCACCAAAGAAAGGACTCACTTTGAGGAAGGGTGTGTCTTCACCCTTCTTGATACGCTTCTCGATCAATTGCAGGGCCTGTTTAAGATTTTGTCCATCAATAGCGTCTTGGATCTGCTTGTTCCGCCGATAAAAGACAGCGTCATTTGTGGAAGACATAGTGAATGCTTCGAGGAAACACGGAGTTAGAGAAAATAAGGCAAAAGACTCGGCTCGTCAATAGCGACTATAGAATGCAATATAACGTATGCTGCGCAAGCCAGCACATCACACGACGTGCGAAAGAATAATTATACAGCGAAGATGAGGGGGAAATTGTTGGTGTTTCTCCAACTATCTTTATCGTCTTTCTGCTGAGTTTGGTGGGCGGGGAAGCTCATTTGGAAGGCGGTGACGGCGGCATGCGGCCATCCCTTCCTTCAATTAGTGGGGGGATGACGCAGTCATACACTGATCGATCAGAACATCGGAATGTCAATTCCACTGGAATACTTGACTTTGCCATGATCCCATAGTACCTTGGGAGTGTAGGAATGGAGTTACAAGATGGAGTTACCTGGTTGGATGAAAGCCCGAGGACATCCGTCCGTGGTCAGGCCTGACAGGAGAAGTATATCTTGGTGGACAAAATGTCAAGCCGAAAGTCAACTTCCCTAACACGCATCTTGATTTTGGAGGTGTGTAGTGAACCTTACGGTGCTGCTACTACTAGCAACAAAACAGATGAGAGACCCTTCCATTTCAAAGACCATATCAAATAAGCATACAAGTAGTGTACAAGCGTAGGCGGAAGGTGAGGAGAGGAGAGAGATGACGAAGGCATTCAGATGAAGTCTAACGCCTGCCTGAGAATTCAGCCAGCCCGTAGGGATACCCATAAGGCATCTCACTCTTGAGAGACTGCCCATTGTTAGCTCTGCCGTCAATGATGTTCTAGCTCACCGCCGAGCAAAGAACAACACTGTGCAAAGATAGTCGACGATCTCTGCTTGTCTTGATTGAGGCCGACACCTAGAACCGAAGCATCCGGTACACCACTATCTCCATAATCTCACTACAGAGTGGCTTGCGGCACAGCTCGATGCTAGCTTTTGAGCAGTTCCTGACATCGTGGAGCATCAAGGAACAGGAAACCAAGGCAACTTGGAAAGGTGGGCTGCCCTTTGTTTGCTTCTGGACTAGCCTACGCACCTCTTTTCTTTTGTGTCAACTGTAAAGATAACGGTTAACAATGACGAGAACGGCAGGGAAAACCTTTCCAGGAAGGTCCAAAAGCTCCCGGGAAGGGCATCCGACAGATGAGCCCCAGCGAAGATAAAGGGAGGTGACCACTTAGAACAAGTTTCACTCACCCATTGCTTTTTACAGTCGCGATAAGCCCTAGGGTGTCAATCAGCATATGGTACAATAGATTTGAACGACTACAGGGATGAGAAGAGCCACCAGAACAGAGTGCGACACTGACGATCCGCCCTCTTGATAAGAGAGCAGAAAGCGCAAGTACACTTTTGTATCCACAAAAGAAGGCGCTGTGAGTTGTAATGGGCTAAGTCACTCACTGGAAGTAGTCATGGCACATCTCTCTATCAAAAGCATTGCGTTTCATACATTTCAGACTCCGATCTGCGAAATCCTGGCACGGATCAAAGTATTCACTTGCAGACTTGCTATAGTGCTGTTAGTAATGGATGTCACAGTAAATGCACTCACGCTAAATTGCAAGAGGTCTGGTCCAGCAGTACGAGCGAGCGAGCGAGCGAGCAAGCAAGCAAGCAAGTGCCAATAGCCGACAGAGCAGCTAAGGCATGTTGTTTATTCCCGTCTGGGACAACAGCCGCATGGAAGAAGAAGTTACGGTGCCAAGTAAACGAAAAATTGAGACAAAGGCCCGATGTATAAGATTTGAAAGATGGCAAAAGCAGAAGGGAACCTACTTGGAGAATTTCCGCTCGACCTTTTCCCAAGAATTCGATTGGACCGAGTCCGAAGCAGATGAGGACGGCGTTGCTGCTGCTTGCTGCTGATTTTGCTCTGAGGAGGAGGCCATCATTCAGATGTAAATTTTATACAAGGAGGATTCAATTGACACACGTTTTAGCTGGTAGGATGGGTGTGATGAGTGCCGTAAGGTAGAGGGTTGTACCGTAGGTCCACGGTACTGGGAGTATGCGGAGGACATGTACTCGAGTAAGTGAGCCTGGAGTGATCGATTGGCGGGCGGAAAAAGCTGGACCCGCCGACCTTGGCGTGGGGAAATCCCGAGTCTTAGTCATTCTTCCTTTCAAGGAAATGTATGTAAAGTACTCCGTATGGGCATAGCTACATATCTACCTACTCAACGTATCTATTCGTAGTACAAATGCACTTTGCTGAGAAGACATTGTAAGTGAATCAAATGACTCCTCAGACATCTTTATATCAACAGAGCAGATCATTCAGTTTACTCCATTCCTCTGAGAGAGTACAACAGTATCATTGTACTGATGTGTATCTGCCCGGCTGAGAAGCCGAGCTTTGGATACAATACTTCCGATGTGACAAACATCACAGGACAGATACCTTACCCCTCCTTACTCTGCATTGATCATGTGCGCTTCTTTCTCTTCCCCGGATAAGTTATGGGACAGGTTTGCTTGAGTTCGGTTCTGTATCACTTGTGCGCTGACTTTGGGTTCTGCTCTTCCTGTCATCGTTCTGATCAAGCATAATAGTGGCGACGTAACATGAAAAGACTAGGTCCTACTGCGCTATCAGATAAATTCATCACTATGAAGCGAGTGTGTCATAAAATTAAAAGGAAGCATTGGAATAGTCTTGTTAGGTGGAGACACTACTTCCGAAATAAAGTATAGGTGGGGACAATGTAACGGGACTAAGAATAGACTGAAATCGTCATCAACAGTCCTGTCAAGTCCAAATTAATCTTCCCGAAGGTGAGAGCAATAGCCGACCGGTATTACTAGGCACTAGAGGTTGAACAGAGAAACCGAATAATTCATGCATGTTGTGTGAACAACGCAAGGGCGACAAATCGGTTGTCATAGCTAGCGTTGCGTAGGGGCAAGAGAAAGAGAGGGGTTTGTGTTATCGGCAGCAGCACAGATAACCATTCCATACATCCGATCTGATAGCTTGCTAGCCACGACACGACACCAAATCCCAAATCGGGTCAAAAAGTCCTTTCAGCAGCCAGACTTGGCAGAGAAGCTTCGGAATTTCTCCCTTCACTACCCCCACTGGAAGCCGTCAACAAATCCTATAGGCCCCTTGATGCCCGACCGATCACGGTGATCGCTCTTCAAAACTCTTGCCCAGGTTTCATAGCCGCAAGGAAGGCCTTGGTGTCTGGCCCACTTCGCAATGAAAGAGACGTACTGACCTCGAAGTACGTTGCAGAAGTCTGCGTGGGCCTGGTCCGGACTTCCTAAAAGGTTTGTTGCCATGCTCTACCATAGCGCTAGTGACCTGGTCACAGAGCGCATGGAGAGATAATGAGTTCTTGACTCTGCTTTCCAAGTTCCACATGTTGCTCTAAGTGAGGAGCACTCGGCCCAATCGAAGAGATGTCCATTACCTCAGAAAGATGACATGGTGGAGCATTCATCCTTTGTGCCAAACCCAACATAGGAATAGTTTCCATGGACTGGTCTATCCACGAAGCCCTGCCTTGCAAACACACGTCGAGCGATAGAGGCAGGAAAGCGCGCCATAGTTCTCAAGACTGTAGATTTCGAGGACGATTGCACAGTGATCCAGTACTGCACACTGTTTCCGGCCGATGAAGCATGAAGAAGCTATTTCGTTTGTCACATACGGTATTGTCACAGTCACCCAGCGAAGCCTCAAGATAGACTGGTTAGAGCTTGCCACTTGCCCCGGACATGAGTATAAATAATGACCTTTGAAGCCCTCCCAACTTACCTCGACCATTCCATCAAGCAGCTCCAATATTTGTATACACCACTTATTTGACTCTATTAATCGAATTCATCTGCGGCCTGACCAAAGTCCATATTCGACACATAAAGGTATGTTGCGGCCGCCGATCCATAGCATATTGCAAATATTGTGGATTTGGCTCTGACCTGAGAACCTCACAATTGTAGACCAATGGCGTCTGTCGAGACCTACACCATGACACCAGCGCCAATTCTGGCGGGGCCAGTCCAGCCCAAGGAGACAGAAGTCAGCAATGGACAGAGATCGACCTCGTCAACAGGAAAGATTGCCTTTGACCCTTCCAAGCACCTGGCTCACACCGCCCCTTCCAAAGTGTACAGCATGAAAGAGCTCGGCTATTCGGACAGCCGAGGTGTTTCTCCCATGGGAGTCTCCGAGCCTTTCCCGTTGTTCTCTGCAGAAGCCATTCAACAGATGCGAGAAGAGGTTCTCAGCGATGAAGTTTTCATGAAGCATAAGTACTCTAGCGATCTTGCTCAGTGCCAATTGCGAGGATATGCGGCAGAGTGTGTAACTCAGGCCCAAGCACCGTCGAGCATTGCTGATGTTGTTGCATAGATGCGCACCGTTCATCTATGACGCCTGGAAGAGCCCGGAGACGCTGGCAATCATCTCAAAAATTGCCGGTGTTGATCTCGTTCCTGTCATGGACTTCGAGATTGGCCACGTCAATATCTCCGTTCACAGCGAGCAGGAGAAGAACGAAGCTCTCAAAGCGGTCATGGAGAAAGCGACTCGCCAAGCAGACGAAGGCGTGGCCGGCTGTCCTTGGGAGGACGAAGACCCGATCGTTGATTGGCATACAGACAGTTATCCCTTTGTCTGCGTGACTATGCTTTCCGACTGTACGAACATGATTGGTGGCGAGACAGCTTTGAGAAAGGGTGACGGCGAAGTGGTGAAGGTCCGAGGACCACAGATGGTAAGTCTGAAGGGCTTGATCCCAGTGATAGCAGGCTTACAGCATCTTTTAGGGATCTGCCGTCATTCTTCAGGGGCGTTACATCGAGCATCAGGCACTCCGTGCTTTGGGGACAACTGAGCGAATTTCCATGGTCACCTCTTTCCGGCCTCGCGCTTCAGCCACCAAAGATGACACCGTACTCACAACAGTACGTCCAATCTCTAAGCTCGGCGACTTGTACCACCAGTTTGCGGAGTACCGCTTTGAGATCCTCGAAGAGCGCCTGCGAGATGCCAACCGATTCATGCGTGATCAGAAACGAGCGACCAGACCTTTCGATACCCGATTATTGAAGCAGTTTATTCGAGAACAGATCGCGTTCTTGGAGCACATGGACAAGGAGATTGTTGAGGATGATAAAGTTATCAAGGGTGTTACTGATGATAGCCACCTGGTATCAGAAGATCTCAAGCAGCGGCGTTCCAAAAAACGAAGCTTTGCTGCTGTGGAGTAGATCCGAGCAGCTATTCATGTGGACGAATGAAGCGGTACTAAATTTGGTTTTTCTCCCAGCGACCAATATGAGGTTCTCGCATGGTGCTTTCGATTTGTTATGCGAACCAAGGGTTGCAGTTGGGCCAATCTTAGCATGTCATAATGAATAAGGGATTTTGGGTTTCTGTAGGCGAATTGCCGCTTGGTCTTTCTCTTTTACTTGTAATTTAGCGATGCAGCAGTGGTATTTTGTTGGATAGTCTTTAGGTTCGTCGTTTCCATACCGAAGAAAGTTTAGTATGTCCCTGTTCAAACCAAGAATGTCCATGAAGGATCTGACTAGAGTGAGCGTGTTCATGTTCCACAGAGAAATGACCGTAAGTAATATAATTCGACCGAGTACAACTAAAAGTCTTTGAATCCGTAGGCGCTAGTTTGGAGAAGCCAGCCAGCCTGACGTCTTGAGCAATGGGTCGATACGCTGGATGTCCAAGCGAGTCGCTGCCCGTTCTAGTTTCAATAAACACTGAGCTCACGTGAAAAATCTGCGGCACGTCGTGAGAAGTTGTTTCAGCATCTGAAATGGCATAGAAGGACTAGATGAATGTATGATAGAAAGCTTGTTAAGCGGGCGAAAGAGGGATGCGTGCCCGACATTTGTAAGGCTGGGCTCATGCTTTTCATAAGCAGTAACGTGAATCAGTTTCCGGCCATAGAAGTGGAAGATCATAGTAGTTTGGTTTTATGTATGTCATGAAGCATCATGTCCTAGGGGAGGGGAATTGTTCCGCGCGATAAGCTTGGTAACTGAAGCGTTCTGACTACTGAGAGATCGAGAAGGTTTTCTCCATCTCACGCAGATAACCGGCGCTAACAGGATGCTAACGCCCGGACTGGGCGCTAAACGCTCCCCAGGATAGGGAAAGTTATTCCGGTCGATAGACTGAATCCCACCTGGCATTCAGTTGGACTTTCAGAGTTGGGAAGGGGGAAAAGGTGATGTTGATGTTGATGTTGATGTGTTTGTTCGGTTTGCGCGCGGAACCTCCGACCGGCCAAGACAAAGTGAATGTGATCCGTGTTCCTCAGGCAGGAAGAAGGAAGTCCTCCCCCCCCAAACTAATCCTACCGGTATGAGTGCCGAGTTTTGCTTCTCTCCTCGTCTCAGCTCTCTTCTTTATCTCTCGAGAGCCGCATATCGAGGTCGCCCAGGTCAGATTTAGCTCAGAATTACGGGCTTGCTTCTTCTTCGAACTTCCTGGCTTAAACCACTTGGTGGGGGCTATTTTACTCCTGCCATAGTTGCCTGTCTCCCTCTCTCCAGTGATGTCGGCGATCGTCTCGCGTACCTGAAAAGTCCATACTTATCTCCTACCCCTTCCTAAACAACAGGACTCCTTTCTCATATCCTCCACCTCCGAGAGCATCGCGTACTTTGATACACGGTCTTACTTTCACCTCATATACGCCTTTATCGGGCTGCGCAAAAGCAAATATCGAAAAAAATGGCCCAAGCTGCTGCCGGGGCTGCCGCCTCGAACAATGGTGCCGATAACACAAATGCGCCCGCGATAAACACGGGAGACAACGCGTCGGGGGTGAGCGACTTACCCGGATCTCTCGAACTATACATTGTTAACGTCGTGTCGATAGCTTTTTCAAACTCTGCAAGGTCACGTCGACAGCATTCGGTCCCTCATACAATGCGGCGTTTGCATCCGGCCGCTCTACGAACCCTATACTTTGGCTTGCGGGCATACATTTTGCTACAGTGTAAGCTCCCCATATTTTTGGTATAGCTATTCGCACGGCGTCTGACAGCGCATCGTAGTGCTTAACCTCATGGTTTGTTGGTGGACGACACAACAAAACATGCCCTGACTGTCGGGCTCCAGTGAAGGCGCAGCCTGCACCTGCTTACTTGGTAAGACGTCCTGACTCAACTTTGCCAAGCGAAGAAGATAGGCTCGTTCTCACATTTCAAAGGTTAGAGCCGTGGTTCAAATGTTCACGAGCCAGCCCGAACTACTCGACAAGGGCGAGACCACAGACGAGCACCAGCGCCATCACAATGAGGAAGCAGAGCGGTTGGAAAAGGACAGACAGAATGCAGACCCTAAGGAAGGGGGTCTGTTTCGAGGAACTTTCAACAAGCCGAAAATTAGTCAGCCCATCATGGATGACGATGATAACATATTACGTTGTCCGCACTGTGCATGGGAGTTGGAGGAAGGTGAATGTATACACTGCGGTTACGAACGAGATCGCGACTCGATAACGAGCACATATTATAGCGACATGGAAGGGTCCGAAGAAATGACCGACTACATGGACGATGACATCGAGGACGGATTCGGAGATTATGATGAAGATTATGACTTCGATGAGATATACACAACCCTTCAAGCTTTGCCGCCAGATCTTCACGAAGCATTGTATCGGCAACACCCCGGATATTGGCCCCGCGATTGGCCTGCAGGCCCTTCTTCGGGAATCGAAGACAGTGAAATGGACGATGAAGATGACGATGCCGATATGGATTCATTCATTGATGACGAATTAGAACATGAGCATGGCGACTATTCTGAATCTGACCGGTCTACAGTTGTCGGGCATCATGAGTTTTCAATAACACGATCCGAGGTTCTTGATAGCGGTACGCCTGACGAGATGCTGGATGGCAGCGAAGACGGTAGCAGCGAAGACGAGGATTCAGAAGGTTCAGAAGACTCGGAAAACTCGGAAGACGACGACGACGACGACGAGCCTATTAGACCTGCTATCAGCAGTAGCCGGCGGAATCGAGTGCCAGCATATCGCGTACTTTCGGATTCTCCTGCTCCCGAGCCAGAGCAGCCCACCAGAGCTTCTCGATCGGCTGATGCGGCGCCTAGAACAACATCGGGCGCCTCTCGCCGTACTCAGAATCCGCCTGCCAACTCCGAGGCGAATGCAATATACATCGCCTCTTCCTCAGAAGACGAAGGCCCTGTGAGACCTACGAGGAGGACTAGAAGAGAACGAGGAAACTGCTAGCCCGAGTCTCATGGCATAGGCGTTGATCGTCTCGCTAAACTGACGTTCAATCCCAAGTGCGCGCACAAACCAACGTTAACGACTTCCAACGACTACCGCTGTGTACAATTAACCCTAAACCATGGTAGATGTGGCAACTCTCCACGTTCTACACATAGGCCCCGTGGCCAAATAACCATTAGGCAACGGGTACACTGCAAACCAAGGCGCTTTTCCTCCCTCGGAGGATATGTTGTGCCTCATGGTGGCGAAAACTCTGAGTTCCAAAATACCCCCAGATTCTTTCCGTGACGGCTGGCTTTTTTGCGTCTTCTTCATCTTCTTTCTTACCTTTGACAGGCGCGGGGGATCGGCGAGGATAGAATGATCATAGGCCTGATCCGAACAACATGTATTACCAGAAGCCCTCCTAGTTAGTCCCTTAACTTTCTATGTAGCTGGTCAGTTTCGATGAATTATGTTAGCCTTTAATCGAGATTAGGGCTGGTCCTTTGATGAGTATACCACAATCTATAACCAGCACAGTCAAGCTGCTGCAAGAAATCATTTTGTCCCATAAGAAGTTAATGATTACTGCTATCTAGTAGATATCTCTGCATAAAACTCCCCTTCCATGCTGTTCTGGTAGATCGGCTCCAAATGCCGGATGAACTAGTATAGGCGCCGTCTTGGCGCCGATTGTTGACCCGCAAGACTAGTGCTGTAAACCCCCTTTATAACGATCTGATTGGTGAGGCCTTGCAAAATTGCTATATACCAGGTAGTACAGATATTGTTGTATTGTTACAGTATACTCGTAGGTAGACGGTTCTCGTGATATATCTTGTACAATACACATCCAGTCCTTAGGACTTTCTTTAATTATTACCCTTCTAGGTAATTTTGGCTTTTATTCGCAAAGCGCTAGCCTCGCAACGCTATGAGGGCCTGAGCAAGGATTCTGACTGCTAGATGGCTGTAAAACAGCTTTTTTACACCTTTTCATTGACCAGGTTAAGTAGTAGTTATGTGGTAAGCTACACAACTGTTCTCCAATTAGTGTTAAGATTCACTTAAGTGGATCTATATTGGTTTAAGTTGGTTATAGCCGCTTTAATGCGCTTTGCTGTATAGCGGAGGGGGTCTGGGGGGGGCAATGCAAGGCCTCCCCAGCTGCAGATTTAGACTGTAGATCTAAATTAACAAAATAATGCTTAAAGGGTGCTTAACAAGGTAAGTTACTTAACAAGGTGCTTAACAAGGTGCTTTGAAAGGTGCTTAGGCAGGTGCAAGTACAGGCCCTGCTGGGCCCGCTAAAGGTGCATTGCAACAACTTGGCCAAGGGAGGAACCAGCAGGTCAGGCCCTTCTTTTAACAATATTTATATAGGCTACCTTTATCTAGATTCTGTTATCACTAGAACAGGACACAGTAATTTTTGTATAGTGGAATTGAATTCACACTGGGTGAAATTGTTTTAGGCGGGAAATTGTTATAGTAATGATTGTTATAACAAGGGTTTACAGTAGGTACAAATTATAAAAGACAAGTTCCCATGCACGCCCACTCAGTCTAGGCTTGTTTAAATCCCGCGGCCGTCACAACTGACCATGGTGGAGAATTTCGGGGGTATACGGATCATGGGCAGTGCACTTGAGAGATAGAGGTATACTGTGGCATAGTTCTAATTCGGACACCTCCCTAAGAGTTCCCGATACTGAGTATGAAAAGAGTTCTTCGCAGGTTTTGGAGGTTTTCCCTGCGGGACTGGTATACACTTCCAGTTTGGCGATAAGACGTCCGGGATTGGGCTATATTAGGGTAGATACGGCTCTTTCGCCTTTAGGTACAAGAATGATACAGCATGTGAAGTATGGTTCCCATGGGTATACTGGCATATTAAAGGACGGGGTGCGTCACTTCACTGCAGGAATTCAAAGAGGAAGTCTTAAGTGTATTCGTCTATTCACGAAATCTGGTATATGTACATTTCCGGCAGATCCACAGCACACCTAAGAGCAAAGGAACAATGAGCGAGGAAGACGATAGGGAATCTTCCGGATGCGAAGATAAAAAAAACTTTTGAACCAAAGAATATGAGGATATGCAAAGACCACGGGGCCCGGGAATAGAAATACACATGGAAGAAAGAGAAGATAAGATACACACACATACGCCGTGTTCACAATGATTCATTTCACAAAAAAAAAATCCTGATGTTTCTTCTCAGTTGAGCTTGTCGCCGATGAATGGAACCTCAAATACGACAGCACCATTGCGGCCCTCGGCTGAGGGACCTTCATGGAAATTATTGGTGAAACACTTCCAGCGTCCCAGACGGTGTTCCTTGCCCACAGCTGCCACAATGCACAGGCCGCGAGCTTCCGGCTCGGAGGACTTCGTCGTCGTGGACTTGGGCTCTGTCGGGACCTGACCGGGTTTAGCGGTTTCGACTCGGCGTTCGAATACGGCAAGGCCATTGATGACACCTTTGACGAGCGGTTCTTCTTCGTCGGGGGCGCCGGTCGTCAGCTGAGAGGGCGCACCTTCCACATCCATGCGGTCCGAGGCGCTGGGTGTGTCGAATTCGAGCGTTTGTCGAAGTTGCTCGGAAGGTGTATCGGGAGCTAGGGACATCTTCGACACGCCTCCAACGGGGCCCAAGGGGACGATCGTCCTCTTATCGCTTGAAATCTTCCATGCGCGAATGAATCCATCCCAGCTACCACTAAGCACAATATCCGTGCCGGGCACTGTAGCCAGAGCCGTAATCCAGCGAGGCATGCGGCGTAGATGGCGGGAGTTGTGGGCAGCCGTGGCTTGATCGACTTCGGCGGAGAGCTCGTCTAGAGGAGGTAAGGGATCGAGGCCGTGGGCGAGTGGAATCGTGAAGAGGGGCTTTTTCTTGTGAACAGACCAAAGCGAGAGGGAGCCCGAGTCCGAGCCGGTGACAAATTGGTTCGGAGGTAGAGGTGCCACACAGTCGATGTTGCTTTCCTGGTAAGAGGCATTCTTAGACCCGCCGCGGAAAATCAGCTGCTGCTCCTCAATGACCTTCCATAATCTCGCTGTCCGATCGCGTGCCCCGACACTGATACATTGATCGATGGTCATGGCGGCAACGCCAGTGACATGATCCTGATGACCGAAAAGCGTCTCAACGTAGGCATGACCAGCAGTGCTTAGAGACCAGGTTTTGATGGTTCGGTCATTTGAGCCGGTGAAAAGCTGTTCTCCGGAACTCATGGTGGAGATGTGGCGGGCAAAGGCAAGACTGCTGATAGAGTCACGGTGTTGTGTGAAGGTTTTCAAGGGAGTCAGGGTCTCCGCGTCCCAGACGATCAACTTGTTGTCTTCACCACCGGTAGCCACGAACTTTCCGGACGGTGATACGGCAACAGACAAGATGCTTTTGGTGTGGCCGTGCTCCTCGCCAGTCTCAGCAACCTTCCGCAAACCCCGCACGTACTTCACTTGCTTGGGCTTCTTTCTCTGTGGACGTGGGCGACGCTTGGAGTCTCCGGTTGTTGAGGGCAGCGCAGTTGCGGAAGTAGGTGCGGCAAGCTCCCACTTAATCAAGGTCCGATCCTTCGACACGGTGTAGATGTAGGGCGCGTTGACTGCGATCGAAGTAGTCGACTGTGTATCTGCTCTGAAAAATGTATGCGAAGCTTTCGAAAAGGCGAGGTCTGATGCAATCTGGCGGTAGATGCGTCCTTTGAACTCGTCCTGGCCCGGGTGTCAGCTCCATTGAGCGCCTGGAAGACCAGGATAGCGATACATACCACATCCTCCTTCAATCTCTCCGCAATCAGATCGCGATCGATCTCAGCCGCATCAAAACCGATGTCATCCACTTCATCTCGGACATTCTCCAGGTAACGCTCCGCAAGCTTTAATCTCCGGTCGGCGGCGGTCTCGCCTTCGTCGGATTCCGATGCACTGTCGTCTGACACACCAGAAGCAACGCTGAGGTTATCCTCATCTATATCGCTCCCCGAGATCGATTCCTCATCCTGATCCCTGCGTTTGCCGCCACTTCTTCCGGGTGCTTCTCCCTTCGCATCAACGCCTCTTTTCTTCGACGCCGGGGCAGCGGCGCGATCTTCTCTCTTTCTTTTCCGCTGGGAAGCGGGGACCGTGAAAAAAGAGGACATTGCCCAGGGTAACTGGCTTGACTTTGAATGAGAAAAGAGTGGCGTAAAAATAGAAAGATCACACGTGAACTAACAGTAGACACCCCGACCCAACGCAGACACTCGCTTGCTCACTTTTTTTCTGCCGGTGGTCTGTGCAGGCGGAGACCGCATCAACGTAACGCCTAAATGCTGACTTAGCAGGGCAGCTCCGGCCTCAGGCAGCCGGGCCCTCGTAGCCGCAGCTCCAGGCAGTCAAAGCTCCGCGCGGCCAGCGATGAGATCCTAATCATCATCTTCCTCTCCCCACATCTATACATCACTTTCCCTTCACTTCCCTTTCATTCTCCTCTTCCGTCATACCCTAGAATAAATACCGCAGATATGTACGTGCTATCGTGCCCAAATTGAGAGAATCTTGTCGACTAATCTGCTTACAGGGAGGTACTACTCGGCATCACTGGCAAGGACTTCGTCATTCTGGCGGCCTCCAAAGCTATCATGCGCGGTCCTACCATCATCAAAGCCGAAGACGACAAGACAAGACAGTTGAACAAGCACAATCTGATGGCCTTCTCCGGAGAGGCAGGAGACACTGGTGGGTTCCTCGCGGCTTGACTACCAAGTCACTCTCAAGGTCAGCTCTTCCAGCTAACCGTACGAATCGCTAGTCCAATTCGCCGAATACATTCAAGCCAACATCCAGTTATACACTATGCGCAACGACACCGAACTAGGCCCGAATGCAGTTGCCAATTTCGTCCGAGGCGAGCTCGCGCGGAGCTTGAGATCCCGGAATCCTTACACAGTCAACCTTCTGCTGGGCGGAATGGATCCAATCACCGAGAAGCCCCATTTGTACTGGATTGACTACCTGGCCTCCGTAGCCTCGGTACCTTACGCAGCTCACGGATATGCCCAGTAAGTTTAGACGTGATGGAGAGAATCTGTCACCCTTTGCCAAGGCCTGTGCTAAGATGTTTCAGATACTACTGCTTGTCCACCCTCGATAAACACCACCATCCCGACATCTCCCTCGATGAAGGTCTGAAGCTATTGGAAATGTGCACGGACGAGCTGAAGCGCCGACTACCGATCGACTACAAGGGGGTATGTGACAAGCTATATTCCGCAAGCGGACCGCAATATGATTCGGGGTTTACTGACGGCTTCTAGGTCCTTGTCAAGGTGATAACCAAGGATGGCGTGCGGGAGGTAGAAGTTGATAATAACAGGGTTGTCAAGAATGCCTAATGTGTTGTATCATACCAATGATTGTCTTATGTTTTCGGTTTAGGGACTTGGTTTTCTAAGAGGATCGGTCGGCATGGCAGGATAATTCCCATGAGTTTGACCAGGGAGAACTAGTCTTGCCCATGAATTACCTGAGGTAGAGACTCATAGCAACGACTTTGCGAATAGTAAAATGCACCGTGTAGCACTTATCTGAATTGTTGATGATGCCGAATTACTCCAGACCGAGCGGTGATGCTGTACTCGTTCGCCGTATGACGCTGTTTGACGTGTTTGCATCGACCGGTTCCTATCGCGCCCTCACAGTTTCAATCCCGCAACGCCGCATGTTTCCTGTCGAACTTCCGTCGTATACTCAGTCATGATGTCGAAAAGACAAGCGGAGCTGTCGCTAGAAGAGGAGGAAATCTCCCTGGGCTCACCTGCCTCGAAGAAGGCGCGTGTGGAGGATGGCGACCTGCCCGAAGACGATCCGCGCCGTGAAGCTCTGCCGCTTCGCCGAGCCAACGGCCAGGACATACTCGCAGCTGCCGAGCAAGAAGGCGAGGAACTCGAGGAGGCGGCGCAAGTCCTGGAAGTCGACTCTTCTGATGCAGATACCGATGACGAAACGCCCGCCATCGCAGCCCCGAAACGTCAGAGTGCGCCCCTGGAGGGTTACAGCGATCTCTACCTCGATACCATCAATCGCGAAATCCTCGACTTCGACTTCGAGAAGCAGTGCTCCGTGAGCTTGTCGAACATCAATGTATACGCCTGCCTCGTCTGCGGCAAATACTTTCAGGGCAGAGGCCCGAAGTCGTATGCCTATTTCCATGCGCTCGAGGTCGGACACCATGTCTTCATCAACATGGGAGCCAAGAAGGTGTACGTTCTCCCAGAGGGCTACGAAGTCAAGAACAAGAGCTTGGACGATATCAAATACGTTGTCGACCCGCACTACAACAAGGAGGAGGTGGCCAAATTAGATAAAGAGGTCCATGATGCGTTCGACCTTGCAGGTAATCGCTACAGGCCTGGTAAGAAGCGTCCCCTGCGCCCCCAGCTTTCAACATCAGAAGGAAACAAACTGACACACTGTCCCAGGATTTGTCGGCATGAACAACATCAAAGCCAACGACTACCTCAACGTCGTGGTCCAGCTCCTTGCGCATGTCTTCCCCATCCGGAACTATTTCCTACTGCACGACTTCTCCCAACCAGGCACACCCCAACTCGCCGTGCGGTTCAGCACACTGGTGCGCAAACTGTGGAACCACAAGGCCTTCCGGTCGCATGTGTCCCCGCACGAGCTTCTGCAGGAGATTGCGCTGCGCTCCTCGAAGCGGTTCACGCTCACCCAGCAATCCGACCCGGTGGAGTTCCTGTCCTGGTTCCTCAACAACCTCCACCTGTCCCTCGGCGGCTCCAAGAAGCCCACCAAGACGCCCACGAGTGTCGTCCACGCGGCCTTCCAGGGCCACCTACGCATCGAAAGTCAGGCCATCACCGCCCACTCCGACACCCAGAACGCGCGCCTAGTCTTCACCGAATCCGGCACGATCAACAGCCAAACCACCCCCTTCCTCATCCTCACCCTCGACCTGCCCCCGACGCCCCTCTTCCAATCCTCCAACCGGGAATCCATCATCCCCCAGGTGCCCCTGGCCACCCTCCTGAACAAGTACAACGGCATCACCGCCTCGGAGAAGCTGGCCCATCGTGTCCGCCACCGCCTCCTCCACCCGTTACCCCCCTACCTCTTCTTCCACATCAAACGCTTCAGCAAGAACCGGTTCGTGTCCGAGCGCAACCCCACCATCGTCACCTTCCCCTCGCCGCGCTCCCTAGACATGTCGCCTTACGTCGAACCCAACCCCGCGATCTGGCCGCACAGCGAACCCATCCTTTACGATCTCGTCGCCAATATCATCCTCGACCCGACCGTGGCCGCACCGGGAGCCCACGAAGAAGCCGCAGCGGACAAGGGTGTCAACGCAGCGGGAGGTGGCAGTGGTGGTGGTGGTGGTGGGTCGTCGTCATCGAGCGGCGCAGGCGCGGCCAGCGAGAAGGTCTCCTGGCTGGTACAACTCCACGATAAGGCCATGGCCGCGGAGAATAGCCGCGTCCAAAAGGAACATGCCGGCGAGCAGCGGGGGCCCGAGTGGCTGGAGATTCAGGATCTGTTCGTCAAAAAGGCGGAAAGTGAGACCCTGTTCACCAAGGAGGGATATTTGATGGTATGGGAGCGTCGTAAGGTGCCTGGGAAAGCAAACGGCAAGGGGAAAGCTGCGGCCAAATAAACTGCAGGAAAAGGTTCTCTTGAAATTGGGTAGCTGTGCGTGTGCTTGGATGTCAGCACTCTGGGTGGCACACACATGCTGATCAAATTACTGTATAAATAAGTTCTCATGATCATTATGAAAGAAATCACTCAAAACCTCTTGCTCGTACCGGTTGGTGTCTTGTATTTGTCAGAGAGATCTTTCCTCGATCTTCGTGACGCCTCAATGGAGACATCTGTTTATACCGGAATATTATTAAAATTGCATTAACTTCCGACAGCTAGCGTATGTGCCTGTGTGGGTTCGCACATAAGTAAGATTGTGGACCAAAAGGCAAAGGCTCTTTCAAGCATGAGAGCAATTTGGCCATGAAATTTGGGTAAATAAATTATATTACACATGCTCATAATGATCCCCAACCGCAATACTTTCTCCCAACTCTGATGGCAGCACCGGAGATGATGCCCCACACACTAGCATTCACGGCCGTTTGCACTCCCATCATCAACGCAACTTTGCCAAAGTACATAAGCGTACTGGATCGCGAACCGCCACTAGCCCAGAATCCCATGCTGTGAACATCTGACCGGAGAGCAGCGGGGGCATCTGTAACTGATAGATAAGAGGATGCAAGTGAGCGGAGATAAAGAGATTCGAGAGGAATGAACATCAAAGTCGTGATTATGGAGGCTAGATGAGAGGCTAGGGAATCAATGGGATGCGACGACAGAATTGTGACTCGATGGGCGATAGGATGAGGGTCGGCGATTGAAGTTTGTGGTGCCCGGCCATCAGAAGCATGTGGAGGAGCTCCAGAGCTGACATTATCCGCAGACGTCTGAGCAACTTCAGATGGTCGCTGAGGCATAGCGGTCTGATCCGGTGTCCCTGTGCTATCTGGCAATGCATTCTGAAAGTTCGTTGTGGGAATTCCGACAGGGCGTGTATTTGCCCCCGGACTTTGTACTTGAGCGTTCTCCGCAGATACTGCTGCTACCTCTACAGATCCTGGAGATATGCCTTGGGTCATGTTAGAAAGTCCATCGCTGTCTAGAGCATCTGTGTTGACAATGGTGGCTAGATTCATGCCCTGATTCGCTAGCAGATCGTCAAGCAGATTTGAGATCGCCTGGTTATTGACAGGCCCTCCGTTTGACTGTGACTGGCCAGGGTTGTTGCTGGCCCTTGGTTCTTCTGTACCAGCGTTGTGCTCATGACGGTTCCCTAACACTTCTAGCTGCATCGTGATGACGTCGGAGTTCTGATGTATCAGCGACGCACGGACGAGGGGCGAAGCTGGAGAAGAGGTAGCAGACGATGAGGGACGGGAAAGAAGCGTACTCGACCGCGACATTCTCGGTGCCTCAGCAGCATGATCGCCGCGCGGCAAAGACCGATTATTCTGATCTTCCTCTAGGGGTAAGGCCATCGCCCGTCTCAATGGCGCCATGTCCGCATAATCACCGCTGCTCATTTCTGTTGGAGATAGAGACATTCTGTTCTCTTCATTCGAAAGCACCTGAGTCTCGCTGAAGACGGCATCTGAACTTAGGGTGCCGCCAGGAACGGAAGATCGAGGAGCGGCAGACCGTCGCGCTTGTTCAGTGTCCAATTCTTGTCTGCTCTGCGAAGTGTTTTGTGTTTGGCGCTCGTCGTGTGACAGCTGCGCGCCTGATGATCCTGCTTCCATCTGTGCTCTTCGACGAAGCGCCTCTGGCGCATGTTCTGGGCTAGACCCTATCAGTGGTGTCTTGAAGCCAAACCAAGATAGGATCCACGTCCGGAAGAAGTTGGCTTCGTAGGCCAAGTCTTCTATGAATGTAAGGTTGCTGCGACGATTCTCTTCCTCGGCTCGACGACCAAGAGCTGGCATCATCCAGTCAACAAGGTCATTATCATAGGCCACTTTGACCGAAAGATCGTCTGCATAGACGGGCTTCGGCAACCTTCGTCGAATCAGGCGATAGAGCCTGATCTCGACGACTGGGCGTAGGTACACATATATGTAAACAAGAAGCGAGGGTGTTCTTAGGGCATTTGTCAAAAACCCGGTCATAGAACGAAGCGAAAGGTCACTTGGTAGCATGGGAAGTTGCATCGGAGCATGTTCACCGAAAGGCAGCAGAGCCCTTAACCCTACTAGAGAGTAAGGATGAACGAGGTGAAGTGACTGTAACAAGGAGTACATGTAAGTTTGAATAGCCAGGACAAGTAGGCTTCCTCGAGTTCTGCATGCACTTTTAGCTAGTGAAAATGGCCAGACCGCACAAGGTACTCACGCCGAATGTAATATGTTCAAAGTGGCTCGTACAAGCCTTGACAGCACGTTATCGTTTGGGAAATGATCTTGGCAGGCCGCAATCAAGCGATCCAGCGGATGATGTCGAAGAAAGGATAAGCATGTTGAGACTGCCCAGGCTGGAATACCCGCGAAGTAGAATCCCATTATCCCGTGCCTCGTACGCTCTTGGTGTATCATACTGAGCAAGGGAACGTGCGTGTAACTTTTGAAAGTCTGGACAAGTGGTCAGGTCGATGTTGTCCATATTTTCTTCTAGGCGCAGGTTTAGAGAAAGTTACCAGTATCCGACCCATTAGGGAGGAAGTCCACCAGGAGCCAAGAAAGACTGAGATCTGGTCTAGAGTAGCCATGACCAAGCCATAGTCATTCTCAGCCGCGATCATGTCAATCTTTTGTTGTTCAGTAGGGCCGCCCATGTTGCCCTCTTCACTGACAACGATTCCCATCGTGGATAGGACGTCATTTTTGGCTCTTCTTAGCTCTCTGCCAAAAGACTTGGACTCTGGATTAATGGGATGGCCCCTCTCATCATAATGCTGGACATAGTCATCCGCATGCAGAGCCGATACTCTCCTGTGAGAAACAGGTTCATGGTTTGCTGCGGAGCCTGTGGAACGATCAGGGGCCTCGTAGGGTGACCGCCCCTGAAGAAGTGTTAACAGTATGCTTCAATAGGGATCTGGGGATTATCAGAGTGAGGTATAAGAGCGCCAAGCAAGAAATTCATAGTGTAGATAGGTGTGTAGACAGGCAATTGAAGGGTAGAAAGAGGTTAATTTTGAGATCACATGTAATGCCACCGTGATTGCTCTGCATCAGGAGCATGATTATAGCGATGAGAGTATTTCGCACGATGAATAATGAACCATGACAAAGGCTGCTCGCTCATGTGGGGTTACAGCTCTGTGTACTGTATATGGAAACGGAACAAGAAGGTGGAGCATACCAAAGCCAGTCGATTCAGGTACGCTCGGCGCCCCATCGCGTGAGCATCTTATGAGTGTTAGCCCTGCAAGACCTGCGAAGCCATTCCTCTAGACGGAATGAAGTCAAGTGCCGTATGAGTTGCCCAAGATGATGGACGGTTTGGATGGTCTTGAATGATGTATGGTCGATGGGCGGAAGATGACTATCATTCCCAGAAAGGAAAGCGGCAGGCACGTGGGCGGCAGAGGCGGCTTCCGCGCTTATCCATTGGGCTAGCGGGGATCGGGGGTCCACTGGCAAGGAAGACAAACAAGGCAAACATCTCGAAAAAAGATCAGAAGTTTCCGGTGCGACGGCGAGTTGAGCGGCGTCCAGCAACCGCAGAACATCTTGTTGACGTGGATCCTATTGGATCTAGCATGGCGCGATAGGTTCTCGGCTTTCAATCGCTGAATACTTTCACATATCATGTCTAAAGCCGTGGTGAAGACGACCTTCGAGGCGTCTCGCACACTTCGTCCTATTTACACCGGAGGAAGCACTGCGCTCGATGCCAGTGGTCGTTTCCTGGTGACATGCATCAGTGAAGATGCCCTCGTCATTGACCTGGAGACTGGAGACCAGGTTGCTAGTCTGGAAGGCGTAAGTAATCCCTCTACATCACCGCTGTGCTTGCAAACTGCTTATATGGACATGTTCAGGATGGCGAGATTATCACAAGCTTAGCTAGTATGCAACCCTCTGGGCCCCGAGTGATTTATTGTTCGGTCTTTCTAACTGTGCTCAGTCTCCCCGTCGGCCTCGCATGTCGTTATGTGCTCGCGGTCCATGTCCATGCGAATCTACTCTCTTTCACCTCTCGACGAGTCCACCCGTACGATCGATGCGAAATTAGCCAGAAGTCTCAAGCCCCACACAGCACCTGTCGTGACGACTGCAATCGATCCTACTGGTACTCTACTGGCGACTGGCGCCGCGGATGGCTCGATTAAGGTCTGGGATATTCGGGGCGGTTATATCACACATACCTTCCATGGCCATGGAGGTGTCATCTCAGCCCTGTGCTTCTTCCAAGCGCCGGACTTTCCGAACAAATCGTCCTCGAGTAAAAGGAAGAACAAGAATCAATCGCACGACTCAGATGAAGACGAGATCGCGGAGGATTCAACGGGAGTCTTCCGGCTTGCCTCCGGAGATGAGGAGGGTAAGGTTTGCGTGTGGGATTTGAACAAGAGGAAGCCTATCGCGTCGCTCGAGTCTCATGTTTCGGTTGTGCGCAGCCTCTCATATTCACCATTGGAGAATGCCTTGCTTTCGGCTAGCCGTGATAAGACTGTGATTGTGTGGGACATGCGGACTTTCAAGACGCGGAGGATTATTCCGGTCCTCGAAAGTGTGGAGGCTTCCTGCTTTGTCGCCGATAGTGGTTTGTGTCTGGTTGCGGGTGAAAATGGTCGCTTGCGTGTGTGGGACTGCAATCGTGGAGGCGAGGTCACTGCGGAACAAGAACCTGCCTCGGAATATGAGGCCATTGTGGCGATCCAATATTCTCCTGGCATGTCATCTGCATTGACAGTTCATGCCGACCAGACCATCCGGTTCTATTCTCTGGAGCCTTTATCCAACTACAAGCAAGGGACCACAATCGATCCCTTGCCGATCATCCGGCGCATCTCGGGCAACGACGACGATATCATTGATCTCGCATATGTCGGCCCTGACCGTTCAATGCTGGCACTCGCTACAAACACCGAAAGCATCCGCATTGTATCAGTTGGACCATCCGAAGACAGACCATCTGCCAATAAAGAAGGATACTTTGGTGCTGATATCACACACCTCGAAGGCCATGACGACATCATCATCTGCCTTGATGTAGACTGGTCTGGTCACTGGCTGGTCACTGGTGCAAAGGACAACACCGCACGTCTCTGGCGTCTCGACCCCAAATCTTCATCTTATACGTGCTTTGCAGTCTTCACCGGTCATGCCGAGTCATTGGGAGCTATTAGTTTCCCCCGAGTCCCACCCCCCGCCAACACCCCCGCCTACAATGATCCTCTGAACCATCCTCCTGCTTTCTTGCTTACGGGTTCTCAAGACCGGACCATCAAGCGTTGGGATATCGGAAAGTTGCCTCCGCTGAGCTCTTCCAAGCCCCATCATCCCAAGGCTGTCTTCACCCGGAAAGCACACGAAAAAGATATCAATGCTTTGGACGTCAACCCTTCAGCGACGCTGTTTGCATCTGCCTCCCAAGATCGTACTGTCAAGATCTGGTCGACCGAGGATGGCACCACGGTGGGTATCCTGCGCGGACACAAGCGAGGTGTCTGGTCGGCGCGTTTTGCCCCTCGCGGCACCCCTATCCTCAACTCCGACAGCGGCACTAGCACCAACAGAGGCTTGATCGCCACAGGCTCGGGTGACAAAACCATCAAGATCTGGAGTCTGGCAGACTACAGTTGTCTCCTCACCTTCGAAGGCCACACGAACAGTGTGCTTAAGGTAATCTGGCTCCCGCCGTCGGAGCTGTCCCACCAGGAAGAGAACGAGGACGAGGAAGAAGAGTCTGCGCTGGCACCCAACACGACCGCCGCACAACTGCGACCTTTGGTGGCCTCGGCTGCGGCCGATGGTTTGGTCAAGATCTGGTCCCCTTACTCAGGCGAGCTGGAGACTACTCTGGACAACCACGAGGATCGCGTGTGGGCGCTTGCCAGCCCGACTCCCTCCGGCTCCCGCGAAGATGTTGCGTCCCCTACCACACTCAAAACTTCTTCCCCCTACGGCCTTGTCTCCGGCTCCGCCGACTCCACAGTGACATTCTGGACCGATACCACTTCGGCCACTTACACCGCCGCCGTGAACGCCAACTCGGCTCGTATCGAACAGGATCAGCAGCTACAGAACTACATCCGGGCCGGTGCTTATCGCGAAGCCATCACACTTGCGCTTCAGCTGAACCACCCCGGTCGTCTCCTCTCCCTCTTCACTTCCGCCATCGACGCCGCCGATGACCCGAACTCGAACGAGGCGAAGGGCATCGAGAATGAGAACAGCCTTACTGGCAACGCCTCCATTGACGAGGTCCTCCAAACCCTCGACCCCGAAAACCTCCGCACCCTTCTTCTCCGCGTCCGTGATTGGAACACGAATGCACGCACATCCAGAGTGGCGCAACGCATTTTGTTCGCGCTTTTCCGGTCCTACCCCGCCTCGACATTCGTTGAGCTTGCGTCCGGCAAGGCAAAGCGACGCAGCGACAGTCGCGCTAGTGCAGGGTTGAAGGAAATCCTGCAGGCTCTGGCTGCCTACACGGACCGCCACTACCGGCGGATTGAGGAACTTACCGACGAGAGCTATCTCGTGGAGTGGGTGCTAGCAGAGATGGATGGCGGCGTAGGATTGGGTGGATTGGGCGCGGCGAGTACGTACGACTTCTTTGCCGGCTCCTTGGAGGAGGAGAATTCAAACGAGTCCGAGAAGGATGTTGTCATGCTGGGGTCGTGAAAACACAGGATCACGGAATCCCCCGGTCATGAATGAGAAACATGTATAGATAGACAAAAGATAATCTGCTTTGGAATTCTTTGTGATACACTGGCGCTATGAGCGGAGTCCTTGCTGTCTTGCTCAATGATTCTTTCTTGGGAGGGAAAATCGGCGATGTAAAAAGTTATGTTCGTTTAGGTAATAATGCGACATTTTTCAAAGGAAGAGAGGCTATATCCATGACTATACACGTAAGGTCGGTCCTAAAACACCTTTTACCGGTCGTCATACCTTCGTCTCCGATGTGAGTCGCGGTCACTGTCGCGGTCTCGATCGCGATCGCGATGTCTGCTTGAGGTATTCGACGAGGAGTATCTCGAACTGTAGCGGTCGTCGTCGCGAGATCGGTGGCTCCTGTCGCGGTCTCTGTCGCGGTCCCGGCGAGAGTCACGATCTCTGTCTCTGTCTCTCTCTCGGTAATAGCGATCCTCACGGCTATCGCTGCCCTCATCCTCATATCTGCGTCTTCTCGAATGCTGATCACTCGACGACCGACTCCGATCCCTCCTCGACGACCCGTTCTTGCGCCTGTCCTCATCGTAATCCCTCCGCCGGGAGTCGCGATCACTCTCCCTCGGACGGTCACGGTCATCGCGATCGCGCCTGCTGCTCCTTTCCAGGTTGCGATCGCGCCGTGCCTTCCACTCATCATCATTGGTCTCTTTCTTCGCCTCCTTCTTCAAGGTCGACAGTTCCTCCTCGGAGATAAACTCGCCTGTCTTCGTATTCCGCATCATGACAGGCATGTAGACACCCTCCGTGTTCGTCCCTCCGTCCTGCCCGGCCTTCCTCGACCCCTTGCGCATGGCCGCCTTTCCCCACGCGCCCAACTCCGCCTCCGCGCCTTTGCCCCCGGAAACATCCTTGGCTCCGATCCCCAGAAACCCCGGCCGTCGCTCCGGCACCCGCGCTTTATTGCCCTGCGCCGCAGAAGCACCCCCATATTTCCCCTTGCCGACAGCCTGCCCTTCCTTCCAGCCCATTCCCCGCAACAGCGCCGCGCCGAACTCCTCCACGGGGATCGCATTATACTGGTCCAGCGTCGCCGACTCCGGCCGCGAGGCGATATCCGCGCGGAAAGAACTCGTCTCGCCGAATTCTCCACCACCACCACCATTGGGGGCGGCAGCAGCAGCAGCAGCCTCAATCACCAGATCCGACCGACCCCCTTCCGCAGTCTCGCCTTTGCTCTCCCGGATAAGCGCCTGTAACGCGATCTCATCCTGCGTCATGGGCGTCCTAGTCTTCTCCTCATCCGCCGCTTTGTGAGGCCCAAAATCCTCCATATCCATATCCCTGTCCCCATCTTGATCCGGTTCCTTCGCCGCCGCCGCAAAACTCAGCCCATAGGCCATACTCGGCCCCTCCGTCTCGACCGTCGCCCCAGCGATCTCCCCGCGCCTCTGCGCCTCCTGGATAGCCTGGACCTCCTTCGGCAGCAGGTTCTTCGTCCCCCGCTGCTGCTGCGGCGGCGGCGGTCCCGCCCCTCGACGACTGGTCCCCGGCCGGTCCCGCCAATTATTGTTACTCGTGACGGGGATCACCAGCGGCTGGTTCGCGGCGGCGTCGGCGGCGGAGATGGCGGTGCCCGTGACCGTGTCGAAGCCTGTGACT